ATAAAGCGTAGTAGTAATAATAAAGGAAATCCTCCGTAATAATCTGCCTAATAAACCTAATAGGTAAAAGACCAGAGCAATAAAACTAGACCGTAGGATCCGAGGTTTATGCCCTATACCACTCCCCTAAAGCTATTTTAGTAGCTAAAAGATACGCCTATAAGGTCTGTATTCCTCTTTTGGTACCGAATAATAGCGGTAGAGATAGCGCTAGACCTGCTAGGGCTTCCTGCAGGGCTTTTCGTTCGTTTTTATAAAAAGGGCAGGAAAGAATAAGGTGTGCTGTATCCTGTATAGGGGAGTCGAGACAGGAACAACGGTCGTTGGCGCAGTTTTAGGCCTTTTTGTAGTGGGCTTTTAAATATCCGAAGCCGGGTTTTAACTGCATAAAAGCCGAATTCACCCACTTAGGGCCACCACGGGACTTAATCGGGCCCCGGTAAGTCTAGAAGGACTTTAACCCCTTATAGGTCCCCTAGCTCGCCGTTACGTAACTATAATAGACCGTCCGCTTTATAATACTAGAAGATATCGACTTAGTATTACATAACCTAATTAAAGACCTTACGACCCTAGCCGATAAGGCTATACCGTATTGCCGTGGTAGTATCCCCGGACTCTTACTTACCCCCTAATAGAACGCGGAGCTAACCGCTCTTACTTAGGAGGCACGGCGTCTTTACTATAGATATACGGTAATAAAGTTATAAAACCGATAGGATAAGTTCTAGGTAGCGAAGAGGTGCTAATATAAAGCCGTGGCGGTAGCGAAGCGCCTATACTAGCGATACCTACTATACTTGACCGGGAAAAACGATAATCTCCTTTTACGATTTTAGAAATAGGTAAAAACTAAGGGTAAAGCTTTACTAGACCCTCTTTCGGTACTACCACTACGCTAAGATAATAACGATAGCCTAGCTACCTTATATACCGAGAAAGCTAAAGTCCTAAGCCGGAAGTTCCTCCTCCCCCCCTTATCCTACTACTTATAGGCCTCTAAGTGTAAAGCTTTCCCCCGGTTAGAATATCCGCCACGATATTACCATAACGAATATATAAGGGCGCGTAAGAAAATTAAGCCCTAGGCAGTATTAGGGCTAGACGGACTCCCGGTAAGGCTTTTTAAGGCTTATAGAACCCCCTATACTAAAAGCTAAGTATAATCTTTATAGTATATATTAAAGCGAGCTACTACCCACCAAGGTAGCGCTACGCTACCGTGGTAATACTAAGGAAGGAAAGCCGGCCCCTGGCTAATTATAGGATAGCGAAGGGGTAACGACTAATATCGCTCCTTAATATAATAGGTAAAGTCCTTAAAGGAATACTCGCCGACTATATTACTACCGTAACGGAGGAGTATCGGCTCCTCCTAAAAGGGTAAATAGGTAACCGAATAGGCCGCAGTATTAAGGTAGCGGTATAAAAAGTCATGGAAGCTATAAATGCGAGCTAGGCCTATAGCGGTACCGCTTTAATATTTTAACTAAATATAAAGACTACCTTTAATACTATCTCCTATACTCGACTTCTCGAAGTACTTAAAAGGAAAGGATTTCCCCCTTAGCTTACTATACTAATAAGTAGTTTCCTTTATAACTGCACGGCCTAACTACTACTCGATAATAAGACGGCTCCCCCGCGGCACCTTTAGGGGGGCATCCTATAAGGCTTACTAATATCTCCTATCCTTTTTATTCTTTACATCTCTACCCTTTACGAGGAATTAAAGGAGACTCCTAAAATAATAATAACGGGGTTTATAGATAATACGAATATCGTCGCCATTGGAAGAACTAAGGTATAAACACGGCGCCGCCTCGCTACCGCGTAAAGAACCTACCTAAACTAGAAAGTAGCGAGCGGATTATAATTCGAACTAGCTAAGTATATCTATATCCCCTTTACGAAGTCGCGTTAACCCTTACCCACGCTACTCCCCCTTAGTACTACGTCGGTATTAGAAAAAGGCGATAAGGCTCCTAAGCGTTTAGCTAAACAGGAAACTCGACTTCCGATAGTATACTAAGGAGGTAAAGAGTCGCCTTACTACCTGAGTATATATCCTCTTAAGGCTTAGTACTATAGCGTAGGGGTATAGCTTCGCGAATATAAGGAGGTTATACTTTATAGTAATCAGACCGGTAATAGCCTACTATACCTTAGTCGTGTATAATATTAAAGTAGGCCCCTAATACGGCCCTGTAATAGTATTTATAGAGGTATACAACCGGTGTCTTAAACTCGTAGTAAGAGCCTATAAGGCTATATCTATTAGGGTTCTTAAAAACGAGACCTTTATCCCCCCCTTAACTTATACCTTATAAGTCTTAGTACTAGGAAAGCCCTCCGGATCCAGGAAAAGAGTATTAAGGATAATATACTAGCGAGGGTATTCGCCGCGGCGAGATCCTTTATAGTCCCGAATCGATACTATAAAATACGCGCGGCCCTTATATAGACTGCCTTACTAACCGCCCTAATAGCCTAGGCGGGGGCCTTACCCCTAAGGAAAGCATTAATAAAGGTATAGGGCAGAACTTAGATAAAGGCGAGGCGCCCTTACACGTATACTATAGCGGCACTAGACCGCCCTCTAATATAAAACTCCCTCCGAAAATATAGGGGTCTCCTAAAACTATAGAGTTCTGTATTTACCTAGATTAGATTAGAAAAACTAGGTTTACGGGCTTTCCCAGCTAAGGCGAGGATACCAGAGTTCCTATTAATATAGTACCCTTACGGCAATAAAGGGGCTAAGATAGCGGAGTACGTAGTACTCTAATACTAGGATATAGCCGAGGAGGAGCGTGAAGACCTTTTTGGCACCGTAAAAAGACGGCTTATAATTAAGAGAGATTTATATAACGCGCTAGAGTATAATACTAAAGCTAGAGTAATACCTAAGTAATTCCTATAATAGAGGAGGCTTAATGATTTCCGGCTCGCCCTTAAAGTCATAGACGCCTATAAGAACGCGGTAATACCGTAACAGGGTAAAAAGAATATAATAGTCCTTTATAATTACATAGGGGCCTTATAAGCTAGAACCCTAGCGGCACCGAAATAATGACTCCTTGTTACCTTTCTCCTTACCTCCCTTAAAGGTACTAACCCCGCTTTTAATATACTTAAGGCCCTAGGATAGTTAGCTAGATTAATACCGTAAAAGGGCCGTAAAAAGACTTCATTAAGGCTATTTATATAATAATCTAATAGAATACCCGCTATAACCTTAACGCGCTAGAGTCGGCGTAATACCTCCTATAACTCCTCCGATAAGGTGCCGCTATAGCCGCGACCGGAAGATAGCGCCCGAGTAACGGCCCTTTTAAAGGATAAAGCCGCTATCTTTAAACGCTCCTTAGCCTACGGATTATTAGTAAGGTATTACTATGATACCGAAAGGAGATTACTTACCGTAGCGATACTATTATTACTAATAACCGTTACCGATAAGTAAATAGTATAAACGCCTATAAGACGTTACTACTACTTCTTAGTAACGGGGGGGACCTACTAATTTATTAAACCTAAACACCTCGATATACTAATAGTACCTCTATAGTATAAGGATAACTTATATCCTTTTATAGATATCGGCTATTAGCGTATTAAAAGCACGCCGTACTAATACCTATAGTATTAGTATAAGCTTTAATATCGTTAGAATAAGATCCTAGACACTTACTATAATATAAGTAACTATTATAAATTAGACGCCACGACACTACCTTAATATTACCGGGGTATATATATAGTATAATATAAACTATGCCTTATTTATATCGGCGATTATTACTAGGGGAAGGTATTTACGGCTATTAGTATACTACTACCACGGCGCTACTATAATATAGAAATACTTATATTACAATACTAATTATATTTAGTATTATATATATTATTACTTCTATTATACTACCTAGTTAACCCTACGCTAGCGTAACGCCACTAATAAACTATAAACTATATACTAGAATTATATACGAAAATTAAGATTAACGAACTAAGAGATATTACTAATTAGTACGATACCGCGATAGGAAGTCTATAAGACTATAAACGTAAACGTAGTACGGAAAACCTATAACAAACTTTAGGGCGTTATAGGAAGGAAAAAAGGGAAAGGAAAAGGACCTTATCCTCTATTAACTATCTACTATTTTTACGGGTATAGGCGGAGCCCTACTCTTCCTGCCTACCGCCGGATATAGCAGGCACCTACCCCCTAAAGGAGGCAGGAACGCCTACCTTACCTTTTCTCTTTATTCATTAAACGGAAGGGATAATAGGAATAGTCCCCGGGGACGCAGGGAGGCCGGAGATAATATACTATAGCCGCTACACGGCGGAGACGCCGCGGCACCCTTTTAGCCCTTAACTCCCTCGCTAACGACCAGCCTAGACTAACCCGAACTATAGCCTATTACCCTTCCTGTTAGCTATTAGCCTAGAGGTATAATCTAGATATATATAGGGGATAAACCGGGGCTATATCGGCCCCGTAACGGTATTACTCTAACTAAGGATAAGTATAGAGGTTTTTCTCCTAGGATCCCGAGTTCTCCCCTTCATAGCTACTCGAGAAAGACTATAGAGTCTAAATTAGGCTCCTATAGATTAGATAGGATAGCAGAGTAAGAATAATAATAATAATAATAATAGTCTAGCTAGGCTTCTATGGATTAGATTAGATAGGATAGTAGAGTAAGAAGAAGAATAATAATAATAAGTAAGACTCTTAATTATTTCATATAGTATAACTAGAACCGTTGAAAATATAGTTAAAACTAAAGGGTAAATTTAATACTTAGTTAAGTATATCCCTCTTATCGTAGCAGGACTAATAGGAAACTGCTACTACTATTTTTTCTATAGTAAAAATTCTGCAGGTGTCTGTTCGCCCGGATTACCGAGGTTAAGTCCGTGCCCGTTACGTAACCGAAAACTTACGGACTGTTCAACAAAAACTACGGTCTATTCAACAACGGTCGGAAGTACCACCCCGAGGAATGTGCGGATACCTCTGACAGCTAACTGGTGACGTGGCCTGACGCTGATCGCATGGGTTCTGTCAGGATTGAGTGACTATTCGAGATTCTTACCGCGTCTTTTCGGGTGCAAGGCTGTAGCGAACACCGACACAACACCCACCAGTCTACCCTATCGTCCAAACGGTTATCTCGAATCAGACAAATTCGACGTATCTTTTCACCGACTAACCTCCTCCTACCTTGTCTGAGCCCCCAACAGAGGGTACTCTGGGTTGTTTGGCCCAACCACCCGTTATTTTCAATCCTCAAGACCAGGCAACTAAGCGATGAACCCGGATCTCGCGACAGGATGGATCAGATGATGGGAGATGGGGGGAGGTTACCTCTCGAAGCATGGTTTTGGGAGATGCCCATATGCACTAGGTGGTGGACGACAGCGACTGTGTTGACCAGCGCGATGGTGCAGTGTCAGATTGTCACACCGTTCCAGCTCTTCTACAGTTTCCGTGCCGTTTTTGTCAAGTCACAGGTTGGTTCTTGAACAAATATATACTCCCGCGACCCCGGTGCACACAAGGTTGCTGATACTGTCTCAGTACTGGCGGCTCCTAACCACGTTTCTCTACTTCGGGCCTTTCTCCCTCGACCTTCTCTTTCATGTCTACTTCCTTCAACGCTACGCAAGACTCTTGGAGGAGTCATCAGGACGCTCACCTGCCCACTTCTCGTGGCTTTTGGTCTATGCTATGATAAGCCTCCTACTGCTCTCCCCTCTAGTCTCGATGCCTTTCTTGGGACACCCTCTCTCCTCTACTCTTGTCTATATATGGTCCCGCCGAAATCCAGACACGAGGCTGAGCTTCCTGGGTCTGTTGGTTTTCACAGCACCGTATCTGCCGTGGGTCCTAATGGCCTTCAGCTTGGTTCTACATGGTTCTATCCCTAAAGATGAAATTATGGGAGTCGTCATAGGCCACGTATGGTACTTCTTCACCGATGTCTACCCCCCACTGCATCATGGTTCGAGGCCTTTTGATCCACCGTCGTGGTGGAGGCGGCTTTTCGAGGCAGAAGCCCCGAATGACGAGACACGCAACCCTATTCGCCATGATAATCTTGCTGTGGGTGCTCCGGACATCGCTGGCGAAGTCCGGTGATCGGCACTTCAAATCAGATTCGATCTTGTTTCTGGCGACTATGTCAAATTCTTATGGGAGAGGCCACCCTGATGCATCAGTTGCAGTCAGTCTCAACAGCTATGGACGGCCTCGGGATCTACAACACCGCTACGCAAAGCTGTCTCTACTGGGGCAAAGGATGGGGCTGTAGCACACCAGCTTCATAAACCCACGTATGTCACGATCAGATATCAATAAAGCCTATCGGACACAGGACTATTTCAGAGATCTTTCTTCAGATTGGCTTCCAGAGGTATCGGCCAGCTTAATAAAGGGGGTCTCCTTTATAGCCATAGGTGCTCTCTAAGATGATTTATAATATACTAGGAGTCGGAATATAAATAAAGGTACGGAATTATATGTGTATTTATCTAAGTTCGTAGTACTTTACGGGGATATCTAACTATTAGAAAAAAGCAGGGGAAATAACTATAGATATATAGGATTAAGGAACTCTATATATCTAATACACTCTAACCCCTGTTTAATTTTATATAGTATACTTACAGATCCGAGTAAACTAATAGTATTACGAGAATAGGTAGGGTAAACTATAAATAGATATATATTTCTCTATATAAAATATAGGGGCTTAGATATACTAAACCGGGGGACTAGGTATCCGGGCAAATAACTTTATAACTCCCTAATAGATAAAGTCGATATCGTATAGAAGTACGTACCTAGGTATTATTAGTAGAGGTATGTTACTTAAATCTTTAAAGCTTTTCTATTGAGGAGAGTTTTGAATATACCCTATAATATAATTAAATAGGGGTTATATAGTATAATATAGTTTGTTATACCTCGACAAGATGGCTAAGGGTATCTAATACACCCCCCTAGAACTATAGGATTAAACCTAACTATTCTGCTTATTGACTTAAAGCTTAAAATCCAGGGTAAAACAGGCCTAGGTATTAATTAACGGCATTAAAGGCGTTAAAGCTAAAAAGCAGTTGAGCAGTATTTAAAATAGTAGCCTAAATAATAGCCTATAGGGAGATAAAACACTTAAAAGAACGATGTAATTAACCGCTTTCCTCGATTAAAAGCCAATAGAAGGGCGTTTTCCTTTTCTGTTAGTAATTACTTTAATCTGATTTAGCCGGGAGCTTTATACTAAGCAGATATAAATACTCCCTTTATTTCTATAGTGATAGTACCTTTATGAGGCTATTACTAACGATATTATTAGTAGCGAACTAATTAATTAAGACGGTCCCTTTTTAAACGGTTTATCGAATCTAAAAAGCGTGGATAGTAAGATACTTTAATTTAGACGTGACTTATAGTCTAAGGGATTCTAGTAGCTACTTAGTTTATTAATTATCGTAGTATACTATTAGTGGTTCCTCCTTAAAAGTAAGGGTAAGGTTCTTTATTTAATACTAGATATATATAGACGCCTATTAACCACGGGCGCGTAATAGGAGTAAAATCGATAAACCTACCGAGATAGAGATTATAACTACCGCCTCCCTCCCGGGATACTATTATAGCGGCACCGTAACGCCGGCGCTACGGTATAACTAAAAGAATCGATAAATAGCGTTATCCCGACTTCGACTACGTAGAATTCGTAACGAACCCACTTTTCGTAATATAGGCGCTCCCCCCCCGAGGCAGAATATAGCGCGGAACCGATATAAGGCTAAAAGGGGACTACTACGCTCCCTAGAACCGAGAGTAGCTAAGATTAAGGTAGAAGTCTAGGCCCTACTAGCTCATAGGAATACGATTAAGTAGGTTATAAAGCTAGTAAAGGAATTAATCACGATACGTACGCGGAACGCCGCCGGTATAACGCTATTAGTATACCTATACGCCTCCGTATACTAAGTTATCCAGGAGGAACTCTAAAAGGGTATTAGTAGTGCTAAGGAAACTTAGGCCGATATTACCCCTAGGACTCCCGCGATAGTATTACCGCGCCACCCCGCCCCCCCGAAGATAATCCCCGCTAAGTATTATTAAGAACTAATTATCCGCTAAAGGACCTCCCCCGAAGATTACCCCCTTAAAACCAGGAGCCTAAAAGAAAGTATCTAAGCTATAAATACTATAACTATCTAACACAATACCGTAATAGCACGGAAACTACTTAGCGGAGATATTTACTTTACCTCTACTAAAAGGGTATAATAGTAAGCCACCTATAAGGAGGAATAGATTAAGAAAGACTTTAGTAAAGGAGCTACCCTAGCTATATGAACCTACCCTATACTAGCTAAGGCTATCCCCCGGGAGGTCCTAAGTGCCCTATATAAAAAAGACCTATTAGTATCCCTATAAAAGATAAACCCCGAGACTAAACTCTTCCGATTCTAATAACGGGTACCCTACCACGGCACCGGTACGGTTATACTTTTCCTCCTTAAATCGGCTTCTCCGGAAGGGGTGGGTAGTAAGCCTTATCCGGAATACCCTCCTTTTTAAGGGGGGTAGCTATATCTACGAACTATATAATCCTAACCTTAGCCCCGTAAGGTATTATAAATACTTATACTTCGGCTATAGGGCTAGCGGCTAGACCGCGGTACAAAGAGTATACCGATACTATACTAAGCCAGAATTGGTATACCCGTAAGGCCTAGGGTATTATAATATAGCGGTGCTAGGGCGCCCCCGCCGCTACGCCGCTTACGCCGGGGACTATGATACCGTTAACGACTCCTACTAATTACTAAAAAAAGAGGCCGAGAAGACCCGGGAGGTATATAAGTATAGAGCCAGAGACTATAATATTACCCGCTAAAGCAAAGGGGTATACTTGCAATAGCCGTAAATCCTTTTCTAGATTAGTATACCCTAGGACTAAGACCGACCCCTTTAAAGGGATAAAGGACGCCCCTCGAAGATGATTAGGGGCTAGGAGAGTTCCCCGATACCCGGGCCGATAAGCGTGTATATAGTCCCCCGTGGGGCTAGCAAGGTACTATAGTAGGAGCCCTAAAGCTAGACCCCGGTCTTACTAGGCACGCTATCTTAACCTCCCCCCCCCCTTTAACTAATAAGTATCTATATTCTTTAATAGAATATAAGGAGGAGTTAGGCGTGGTAGGAGCTCCTGTTTTAGTGCCGCGCCGAGTATAACGTGATAGTAACCCAGGAACCCGGTCTTAACCCTTTTACGAAAAGCCCTGCTTACCTCCCCTAAAGGGTATACTAGCTAATCTAAGGAGGGTACCGTGACCTCCTTTATATCTATAAAAGATACCCGCTATATATATAGACGTAGCGGGCCTACCGTGATACCTATACAGTTATATTCGGGACCGGAGATAATATCTTTATAATCTAGTTAATCTACTTAGAGAACTACTAGTTAGCTAGGGTCTCCTAGAATATACCTTTAGAGGATATTTAATACGGTGCCGCTATAAGGCCGATATATCCTTATAAGGGACTTTAACTTATACTACCCCCTATAGTTATAGCCACCGCGATACTACCCTTAGGCTAATACCCTGCTTACACTTATAACCCGGTAGAACCTAGACTTAGTTACCCCCCCGCCTCCCAGAACCACTATATAGTATTGCCCGGGCCGACGCGCTAGTATTATTAACCTTATATAGGCGATATAAGGGCTCTGCTACGACTTTAACGGCCCTAATAAGACCGTTATAGGGTCGGATTACTATTTATAGATAGCCTGAATCTATATAGAGATAGACACCGCGGTAAGCACCGCTATAATACTACCGCGGGACCTAGTTAGGCCCTATTAGGTCTAGAAGGATTTTAACCCCTTATAGGTCCCCTAGCTCGTCGCTACGTAATTATAGTAGACCGGCCCTATTATAATACTAGAAGATATCGACTTAGTACTAGATAACCTAATCGATAACCTTATAACCCTGGCCGATAAGGCTATACCGCGTCGCCGTGGTAATACCCCTGGACTTTTACTTACCCCTTAGTAGAATGCGGAGCTAACCGCTTTTACTTAGGAGGTATAGCGCTTCCACCGTAGATATACGGTAAGGAAGTCACGAAACCGATACGATAAGTTCTAAGCGGCGGAGAGGTGCTAAGATAAGGCTATAGCGGTAACGAAGTGCCTATACTAGAGATATCTGCTATACTTAACCGGGAAGAACGATAACCTCCTTTAGCGACTTTAGAAATAAGGAAAAATAAAGGGTAAAGCGCTACCGGACCCCTTTTCGGTACTACTACTACGCTAAGACGATAGCGATAGCCTAGCTACCTTATACGTTAAGAAAGCTAAAGTCCTAAGCCGGAAGTTCTTCCCCCCCCTTATCCTACTACCTATAGGCCTTTAAGCATAGAGCTTCCCCCCGATTAGAATATACGCCGCGATATAACCGTAGCGTATATATAGGGCGCCTTAAGAAGACTAAGCCTTGGGCTATACTAGGGCTAGATACACTCCTAGCAGGGCTCTTAGAGGCTTACGGAACCCCCTTATACTAAAGGCTGAGTATAATCTTTATAGCGTGCCTCGAAATAAGCTATTACCCAAAGTGGTGCCGCTACGCTATCGTGGTAGTGCTTAGGAAGGAAGGCCGGCCGCCGGCTAATTACGGAATAACGAAAAGGTAGCGACTAATATTACTCCTTAATATAATAGGTAAGGTCCTTAAAGCTATACTTACCGACCGTAACGCTATTATAGCGGAGGAATATCGGCTCCTCTTAAACGAGTAAATAGATAACTGAATAGGGCGAAGTACCGAGATAATAGTATAAACAGTCACAGAAGCCGTAAGGGCGAGCTAGGCCTATAGTAGTACCGCTTCGATACTTTAACTAGATATTAAGGGCGTTTTCGATACCGTCCCCTACGATTATCTTCTTAAAGTACTTAAAAGAACACGTTTCCTCCCATAGCTTATTATACTAGTAAATAGTTTTCTAAAAGACCGTATAGCTTAATTACTACTTAATAGCGAGACGGCCCCCCACGGCACCTTAAAGGGGATATCCTATAGGGCTTACTAATATCCCCTATCCTCTTTATCCTTTATATCTCCACTCTTTATAAGGAACTAAAGGAGACTCCTAAAATAACAGTAACAGATTTAATAGACAACACGAATATTATCGCCTTTTAATAGATAGGGTACTATTAGGCGTAGGGGTAGTAGTCGTGGTATTCGTAAACTATATAGGGCATTCGGGTCTAAGGGGTAAGGAGTCTATAAAAAAGGCCTCTTTAGGGGTTAAGCGGATAACTTTATAAGGCTTTACCTAGGTGCCGATCGATCTTAGCGTCTCCTTATAGTCCGCGAGGATAGCTTTATTAGTGGAGAGGAGGTAAACTATAGGAACCTTAACCTCTATCTCTAAAAGGTGCTTTAGGCTTTTCTCGCGGACCTTCCATATAATAGTCTCCTAGTGGAATAAATTAAGCGTATCCTTTTAAGCCGAGGCTCGCGAGGCAGGCCGGGTAA